TCAGAATTGATTCCTTGAGGACCTGCTCCATGATTTTTCCAGGGACTGAGGTGAGGCTGACTGGCCTGTAGTTCCCTTAGAAACACAGGGCTGCTCTCTTCTAAGCTGACCTCATGCACCAACATAAGAACATAAAAGAGTGGCCAGACTGGGTCAGACCAATGGTCCATCTAGCCAGTAGCCTGACTCTGGCAGTTGATGGTGTCAGATGCTTCAGAGAGAGTGAAAAGAAAAGGGCAATTTATCAAGTGATCATCCCCTTTCGTCCAGTCCCAGCTTCTGGCAGTCAGAGGTTTAGGAACACTCAGAGCCTGGGGGTGCACCTCTGTCCATCTTGGCTAACAGCCATTGATGGACCCATCCTCCATTAACATATCTAGTTCTTTTTTGAACCCAGTTATACTTTTGGCCTTCACAACCTCCCCTGACCAGGAATACCACAGGTTGACTCTGTGCTGTGTGAAGCAATACTTCCATTTGTTTGTTTTAAATCTGCTGCATGCTAATTTCACCAGAAATTATTGTAGGGTATAGAAAACATTACAAGCAAATAGGCTGCAACAGAAACTGCTTCTGATCACTGGATCGGGAGCTGGAGCAGAAAGCACCATCCCACTCCTTTCTTCGAAGCATCGGACGGTCTTCCCTCCCTAAGAGAGGTGCTCATCTCCATTAGCAATATACCCAGTACTTCCCTACCAGCCTGATCAGCTTTAGGCTGGAGGCAGCTAATTAGAGAGAAGCTCACCTGCGAGGGACAGGCAGATCTCCTACAAAAGCCAGAAGGCTGGCAACCGAAGGAGCAGCAGAGAGAAGTCTGCAGCTACTCCCTGGGAGAATGGAGGAGTGCTGAGGCAGCTGCTAGGAGAGGGCAGTCGCTCCCGGGGAGAAGGGAAGTGGGTTTGGAGTTGGTACACCCAGTGCAAGGAGGAGAACCAGGAGAGGTAGGAAACAGTTCAGGGAAGGAGCAGTGAGGACAGGGAGAGGAAAGCCCAGAGCTGCTGGGGAGAGGGTCTCTGGACTGGAATCTGGAGTAGAGGGCAGGCCTGGGTTCCCCTACCAGCCACCAAGGGTGTGGCATAGCCCGGCATGGCAGTGAAGGGGAAGACTGCCTGGGTCACTGTGGGTGTGACAGGGAATGGAAGGGGGGAATGCCGAGTGACATGGCCTGAGGCTGAGTCACAAAGGGGACGCTATGGTTTCTGGGACCAGAAAGGAGCTGCAGACCTGAGAGAGAGAAGGTGTGACAGGGTTTGGGTGTGAACTCAAGAGCTAATCCCCAGAGTGGCCAGGAGGAGGTGCCAGACAGCAAAGTAACTTGTTCATAATTATAGGCTATAGATTCCATTTTATGTTTCTTTTACCTGTACCCTTATATGTCTAAACACTTGTACTTGCTTTTATTTGAATCTCTAACTCAAGCTCTGTTAAACTCCAAACTGGTTTTACTATAGATACGTCTAAGTGCTAAGGCGGGTGTTGAGCTGTGGTGAAACAGTGAACCGGGATGCATTGCTTCCACCAAGGCAACGAATCAATGCACAGCAGGTGTCCAGAACGAAGGGGATTGGGCACTCGAGTGTAGATGTGTACATTGCTAGCCTGCATTGGGAAAGCACAGAGCGTGTGGAGCCTGGAGATGAGAGCTTGGGTTAGCCAGACGTTGGTAGCTGGGGAGGGTTTCCCCTGGTGGACACAGCCAAGGCTCCCTCCTGTTGTGAGCAGCTGGTAGTGATTCACTCTGCACCCCTTGGGTAACCCTGAAAAGTGCCACCGTGGCAAGGTCAGCAGGATCTACACCCAGTTTATGAACAAAGCGAAGTTCACGCCCAAGGCAGTAGAGTACACTGGGACACAAAGTGACACTGAAAAGTAATAGGGTTGAAAATGGTGTGTGTGAGTGTGAAGTTTTTATTGTTTGTTTATATCAGGAGAGGGAAACAGAACAAAGACAGCACAAAATGAGCAAGCTAGAGAAGTGCTGCACACTAACCAAGCTGCAGTTTGAGCAGCTGTGAACCATCGGGGATTAGTCGTTGCAAGGAAAAGCCTCAAGGAAACGATCTAAGCTTATGGAACAAGACACGTTACTTGTCAAGCAGCCAAACCCCTCGGGAAGGAATGAGGGTGTGAGGAGTTCAGGCATCCGTACAACACCGCCAGACTGGCACAGTCCTCAACAAGACAGGCAGTGGCCGAGAGCCTATAAGAATCAGAAGGCAGTGGAGGAAGCTGCCCATAGGAAACAGTTGGAGCTGGAAGAATGAAAGCATGTAGAATCATAGAAGATTAGGGTTGGAAGAGACCTCAGGAGGTCATCTAGTCCAACCCCCTGCTCAAAGCAGGACCAACCCCAACTAAATCATCCCAGCCTGACCTTAAAAATCTCTAAGGAAGGAGATTCCACCACCTCCCTAGGTAACGCATTCCAGTGCTTCACCACCCTCCTAGTGAAATAGTGTTTCCTCATATCCAACCTAAACCTCCCCCACTGCAACTTGAGACCATTTCTCCTTGTTCTGTCACCTGCCACATTGAGAACAGCCTCTTTGGAACCCCCCTTCAGGTAGTTGAAGGCTGCTATCAAATCCCCCCTCACTCTTCTCTTTTGCAGACTAAATAACCCCAGTTCCCTCAGCCTCTCTGTGTAAGTCATGTGCCCCAACCCCCTAATAATTTTCACTGCCCTCCACTGGACTCACTCCAATTTGTCCACTTCCTTTCTGTTGTGTGGGGCCCAAAACTGGATGCAATACTCCAGATGTGGCCTCACCAGTGACGAATAGAGGGGAATAATCACTTCCCTCAATACACTGGCAATGCTCCTACTAATACAGCCCAATG